ACAACAAAACGTGATGGCCGTCTGGAACACCTTCAAGATATTGTAAAAAATTGCAGGACTCTAGGACCATTCTCCTAACAGTAGTTCAAAACGAGTCGAACGAACAGACGGACTGACGGACGGGGGACAATACGCAAACAATGGCAAACTTTTTTTATTCCTTAAAAATGCGCTAACAACCAAGTTAAGTCGGTGGTCGAAGAGGGTTCATTATCTTAAAGAACAAAAAAAAGTGTCAGTTCCCCCTTCTTCTGGAGACTTGAGATTAATTTCTCTATTCTTTAGGGGTTGGTTAGAACCTATAATCCTCTCGATCAGGGGTTGACGATTTTATTGCAAGTAGATCGGATTTTGTTTACGTTTAGTCTTCTCTTTCTAGGTGATGATTTTTTTGTTTTTTAAGGGTTCAGGGTTGAAGGTAAAGACCAAAAAATAATTTCACATCCCCTACTCCCCTCGGCGAGTGGATGGCTTATAATTAGGTGGGGTTCCTTTGAGCCTACTCAGAAAGTGGCACCCTTTTTCTGGGGACATGGTTATTTTTTTTTATCTTTAAGGGTTGCTTAAAACTCTACATCCACGAGACCGGCGGATGCAGATTTTATTGTAAGTAGATGGGGTTCGCTAGAGTCTAGTCAGAAAGTTACCTCTTTTTCTGGGGGCATGAAATTGTATTTTTGTCTTTTAAGGGTTGATTAGAACCCTTCACCGTCTCGGTCAATCGGCTGACGATTTTATAGTAAGCGGATGGGGTTCGTTTGATTCTAGTCGGGAAGTAACGCCCTTTTTCTGGGAGCATAAAGTTAATTTTTCTGTTCTAAAAAAATATTTTCACGCCCCCCCCCCTCGCCTCCACCACCCTTTCGGACAGTGGATGACAACTTAAAAATTAATTTTATCTCTCATTGTATTTTAATTAAAGTTCTCAACGAAAGGAACCGTTTTTACCGACTGCTCTTCTTTCTGCCCTCTTATCAAAGTACGGGGCGGAGGGGGAAGGGGGGGGATGGAACTTTTCATGAAAAAGTAGCTGTCGAAATTTGTATTTAGTCCATAACTGTTGATTGAGAGGTCTGATCGAAAAAGTACGAATCGTTTTGGATTCTACGCACCAAAATTAGTGAGAAAAAGTGTTTTCCCGAGATATTTTGGAGCAGTCGATTTTTGGTAAAAAAGGAAGGTAATAACTGCCTTTTTTTTGAGGCCGGAAAAAAAATTGTCTCAGATCGACCGGGAAAAAAAATTTTCTTATAGAATTTGGCCCGTAGAATCCATAATTTCAAACAGTTCCAAGATTGGACTGCTAGATCAAAAGTTACAGCCCTTTGAACTTTTTGTCGAAATTTGTAATTAGTCCATAACTTTTGATTGAGGGGCCTGATCGAAAAAGAACGAATCGTTTTGGATTCTACGCACCAAAATTAGTGAGAAAAAGTGTTTTCCCGAAAAATTTTGGAGCAGTCGATTTTTGGTAAAAAAGGAAGGTAATACACTGCCTTTTTTTGAGGCCAGAAAAAAAATTGTCTGAGGTCGACCGGGAAAAAACATTTTCTTATAGAGTTTGGCCCGTAGAATCCATAATTTCAAACAGTTCCAAGATTGTACTGCTAGATCAAAAGTTACAGCCCTTTGAACTTTTTGTCGAAATTTGTAATTAGTCCATAACTTTTGACTGAGGGGCCTGATCGGAAAAGTACGAATCGTTTTGAATTCTACGCACCAAAATTAGTGAGAAAAAGTGTTTTTCCGAGAAATTGTAGAGCAGTCGATTTTTGGTAAAAAAGGAAGGTAATACACTGCCTTTTTTTGAGGCCAGAAAAAAAATTTTCTGAGGTCGACCGGGAAAAAACATTTTCTTATAGAGTTTGGCCCGTAGAATCCATAATTTCAAACAGTTCCAAGATTGTACTACTAGATCAAAAGTTACAGCCCTTTGAATTTTTTGTCGAAATTTGTAATTAGTCCATAACTTTTGATTGAGGGGCCTGATCGACAAAGTACGAATCGTTTTGGATTCTACGCACCAAAATTAGTGAGAAAAAGTGTTTTCCCGAGAAATTTTGGAGCAGTCGATTTTTGGTAAAAAGGAAGGTAATACACTGCCTTCTTTTGAGGCCGGAAAGAAAAATTGTCTGAGATCGGCCGGGAAAAAAAACATTTTCTTATAGAGTTTGGCCCGTAGAATCCATAATTTCAAACAGTTCCAAGATTGGACTACTAGATCAAAAGTTACAGCCCTTTGAACTTTTTGTCGAAATTTGTAATTAGTCCATAACTTTTGATTGAGGGGCCTGATCGAAAAAGAACGAATCGTTTTGGATTCTACGCACCAAAATTAGTGAGAAAAAGTGTTTTCCCGAAAAATTTTGGAGCAGTCGATTTTTGGTAAAAAAGGAAGGCAATACACTGCTTTTTTTTGAGGCCGGAAAAAAAAATTGTCTGAGATCTACCGGAAAAAAACATTTTCTTATAGAGTTTGGCCTGTAGAATCCATAATTTCAAACAGTTCCAAGATTGTACTACTAGATCAAAAGTTACAGCCCTTTGAATAACTCTTTTCAATTAACCCGAGTTTGTTAAAATCGGCTCAGTCATTTCGAAGATACAGGGTGTTCGGAAATCTTTGAATACCCCCCACAATTTGTTTACCGCAAGCCTTTACGATGGACAGGTTCCCAGATTCAGTACCTCGCATCCTTATTTGGCCACCCTGTACAGGGTATAACAAAAAATTAAATCTACGCTACACGTTACAGCGTCCGTTTTTAATAACAGCGCTAAACAGAGCTTATACAGAAAACCTTTTTGAATGCAGACGAGTTACGCAACTCGATTACGATCGGCCCTTGCTGCGTCCAGAACTCGTTACGAATTTTTCTAATTCGTGTCGCGTTTAGTTTGAAAAACCGATAATTGGCAATGAAGGGCGTCAAGTGTTTTATTAAAGATTAAGTGAGTGTAAAATTGCGGCGAATTCGGCTAAAGGGGGAGACAATTTTTTATCGATTTGACGTGAAACGCTTCTCGTCTACAAACTTTTCTACTTATTCCCCCCCTCCCTCGCAATGTACCAGTTGTATCTGTTGCAAACTTCAGTAGGTATTCAAATGGCGTGAGCCAAATCGATCCGATTATGTTACCTTTGAGGGCAAAAGCTCTATTTTAAGATATACACTCTGGAACGATCTCGTTTCATTGAAATTTGTTCCGCTTAGAGCGGTTATCTTCAGCCTTCCGCAAGATAAAAATACCGCCACTGTAGTTAGAGGGAATTATACAGACTGATCTCTGGCAATTTTTATCAAACTCGCAAAAGTGTGTTGAACCGAAATTGTTTACGTGAGTAACGATTTTAACATCCCTTGGATAAAGGCCAGCGAGTATGGGAAGAGGTACTCTCAAAGCGTTAGTGGAAGGTCTGGAGGTGTTCTTAAAGTTCGTGGGAGAAATCTTAATCCCAAGCCGTGTGATAATTTCATGATGGTTTTATTAATTTATTAAACACTTTTAAATGGCCCCTCCCCTACATTCTCCCCCAAAACGTTCAACCCCTAGAAGCCTCGTCAAAAAATTCACTTTTTTAGCTTCCAGATTGCAGTTACGCCCCCTAGCGGCCATTTCAGAAACTTAAACTTAAAAATATTTTCCAGGTTCCCAGATACAGTACCTCGCATTCTTATTTGACCACCCTGTACATGTACATTGCTTTATTGTAACGCGATCGTATAAATTGATCAGTATCCGTTTCGAAAGGTCAATAAAATTCTCGCACGCAGTCTGCAAAATTTAATGCGCGACCATTAAACATCCCATCTAATCTACAAGCGAATAAGGAAGAGGTACCGGAGAATTGAACCTCGTCCATACATTTTTATCGCTGATTTTTTATTTCCTACACGAGTTCTGCTCCGTTTTGAGGTCGTAATCCCCACGTTCGTAAAATACCAAAGTTATATGATATGCAGATATCTCGACGTTAAGCGCGATAGCGATTCTGAATTTACGAGTTTGATCGAGACGATCTCGTGTAATGAAAACAGAAGTCGCGAGATGAGGGTACGCAAAAACGCGGAGCTCAAGAAATAACGTCCTGGAAACTTTCCATAACGAGGTCTCGATAATTGGTTTTGTTTGAAAGTTGACGAAACATTTTTTCAGGATTCTTAGAAACTGGCTCGAACTTTTCTTCCTTCACAAAACAGGAAGGTGTCTCTTTCTAGAAACCTGTTTCAAAACCGCCTTTTTTCTTAAAATCCTCTCCGAAATGTTCCTATAGAACTCCTAGGAGTAAGTAAATTTTCTTTCGGAACTGTTAGAAGTGCTCGTAGGAAGTCGACTAGAAAAGCACCTTTTCGAAATCCTGTTCCTGCGTTTGGAAAATTTGTAAGGTTTATATATTTTCAAGGTCATTTGATTTTGCAAAGAAAACCGGTTTTTCGAAAATTGGGTTTTCAAATAAGAACTAGGAAAACATATGTAATCACAGAGCCTTTTTTGTTTTACTTGAACGCTTTGCTTTTTTCTTTGTAAAATTTGAAATGCATAATTTGTCATTTTTTTAAAATGGCATACGTTTGGCCCCTCTTCACTCGTATTATCTAACTTATGTGTAATCAAAAGTTTCCTCCTTAACACAAACAAGGTCCCTCATTAGTTACGTCACCCCGGAATAGTAGGGGAGCCAAATAGGGGATTTATACGAGCACGTCAGACTAAAGGAAGGTGGGTTGACTACGTGTTGAAAGGTGTGCATTTTAATCATCTGACGATTTGAGCGTGATGTGAGGAAGTGGGAAGATCACAAACTTGCAAAAAAGAAAAACGATACCTTGACATTCTCGAGCGCTTTGGAATTTCGAAATACAAAAGAATGT